ATGTCTCACAAGCTCGAAGATCTACAGGCGGAAACTAACAAGTTGACAGAAGAAACGAAGCAGCGAAAACGGGAATTCAAGTGAATATCGAAAAGACGGAGGTGATGAAAAAACTTGGCGCCTTTTTAACAGACTGCAGACATTCATCAACAGGCGCCGCCTATACTCACTTGATACTGAAGATCAGATGGCCAGAGTGATAAGAATAAGCAACATGGAACTCTGGGAAAGAACTGACAAAGCAAGAACCTATCACCCAACAAATATGTGGTGGAAGAAAGTGGAGATCGATTGGGCATACACTGAGAAGACCATTTGGGGACATCTCGCGCCAGGCACACGAGTGGAATCCAGATGGGAAATGGCGAGTTGGTCGTCTGAGCTGAGGGTGACATGGAGGAGATCGTGTGAGAAAGAAATGAGAGTTTGTGGGCAGTTGTGGCGCCAGGTTGAAAAGATTGGAGAGAACAGAGTGGAATGGTGACATTTCACTAAAGCCCTATGTTCTATTAGGAACTCAGGGGACAAATAATATAATAAAATAATATGGAATTAAATTCTACACAGGAAATCTTCACTTCAGCCATCAAGACAAAATGGCAGACATCAAGCAACATTCCTGAAGAAACCTCTGTGGAGAAAACTGGAAGTATTTGAAAGAGATGTGAAAGAAACCTGCACAACTGTATTAGGAAGGAAGAAGAAAGAAGACAAGGGATGGATCTCAATGGATACATGGAAGCTGACAGAAGAGAGGAGGATGGTGAAGCAGAAGATAAACCAGTGCAAGGATGCTCAACGACAAGAGGAAGTCAGTACAATGTATAAAACACTGGACAAAGAAGTGAAGAAGAGTGGGAGCAAGGACAAAAACACTTCTACGAAACACTGGTAAGTGACGCAGAACAGGTTGCAGGTAAGAGAGACCTGACAACACTGTATCAAATAACCAGGTAACTTGCTGTCTGGGAAGAGATCAACACAGACGAAACCAATAAAAGATGATGACGGAAATTTAATTATGAAAGAAGAGAAACAAAAGAAACAATGGGCTGACCACTTCAAGAAGCTCTTGAGTCGACCACCACCTGCACTTCGTCCAGAAATACCACCTACAGCCGCTGAACTACAATTGAACATAAATCCCCCAACGAAAAAGGAAGTCCTGGAAGCCATAAACCTACTGGGAAAGCAGCAGGACCAGATGGGATCCCGCCAGAAGCACTGAGAACAGACGCAGAGACAACAGCAGACATGCTCACACCACACCACTATTGCAGAAGGTGTGGAAGGAAGAGAAGGTGCTTGCCCATTGATTGGAAGAAGGGTTACCTTGTCAAACTGCCGAAGAAGGAAGACCTCAGTGTTTGCAAGAACTGGCGCGAATCACTCTCCTGTCCACCCACAGCAAGCAAAATATTAAGCCGCATCATCCTGGAGAGGCTAAAGGATGCACTGGATTCAAAACTATGACCGGAACAGGCAGGCTTCAGGAAGTACAAATCATGTGCAGACCAAATTGCAACGCTTCGTATCATCATAGAACAGAGCATAGAATGGCAATCAGCTCTCTACCTCAACTTCATCGACTTTGAGAAGGCCTTTGACAGCGTCGACCGAAAAGTAATTTGGAAACTGCTTCACTACTACGGAGTACCGCAAACCTTTATCCGCCTCATCCAACAACTATATGAAGATGCCACATGCCAAGTAATTCGCAATGGGAAGCTCAGTGATGCTTTTGAAGTGAAGACAGGAGTGAAACAAGGTTGCCTACTATCCCCCATGATATTCCTGATTGTGATGGACTGGATCATGCAACAAACAGTGGGGAGCTGTGAGAAGAGGGGGATACGCTGGCTGGACTGCGGAAAAGAACCCAGAAGACTTGGGTTTCGCCGCGATGACTTGTGCCTGATGTCACATAAACTTGAAGATCTGCAGGCAAAAACTAACAAGTTGATAGAAGAGGCAGCGAAGACGGGACTTCAGGTGAATATAGAGAAGACAGAGGTGATGAAGATACCTCACCACCACCACCAACAACAAACTCCAATCACCGTCAACGGGAGAAACTTAAAGGAAGTAACCTCGTTCACCTATCTAGGCAGGCTGCACTGTTTCAACTACAGGCGGGACAGACGAGGATGTCAAAGTCAGAATCGGAAAAGCAAGACAGGCGTTCATTAGCCTGAAACCAGTGTGGAGATCTTCTGAACTCAGCATGCGGAACAAGATACGGATTTTCAACACCAACGTCAAGTCAGTGCTTCTGTATGGTTCAGAGACTTGGCGCGTTACGAAAGAGATTTCCAACAAACTAAAAACATTCATCAACAACTGCCACCTACACTGGCTCGCTACTGGAGATCAGATGGCCAAAATAATAAGAATAAGCAACAAGGAAGTTTGTCAACGAACCAACAAAGCAAGAACCTATCGTTCAGCAAATATGCAGTAGAAGGAAGTGGAGATAAACTGGGCATACACTGAGAAGGCCGACTGGGGACATCACGCGTCAGGCCGGGCACTCTAGTGGAATCCCCATCGGGAGCGACGAGTTGGGCGTCGGTGCCGAGGGTGACATGGAGGAGATGGTGCGAGGAGGAAATGAGAGCTTCTGGGCTGTCGTGGAGCCAGGTTGAAAAGACTTCAGAGGACAGAGTTCGCTGGAGACTTGCCACTGAAGCCCTATTTTCCATTAGGAACCCAAGGGAGTAATAATAATAATGATAAATTCTACCACACTGCTTAAGTTTTACACTTACGTTAGTAAAACTTCTTTCACACAGTCTATTATTAGTTTTGTTTTTTTTTCTGTATTAATCAAGTCTTGTTGAAATAATCTTACTTCAAATTTGACCTAGTTTTGTCATTTCATCCTTTTTACACGCCTTTTTCTTCATATGATGATTGACCTTCATTCGTTTGTTTTAGAAAAGTCGATTTCAGCTAACCAATAAACGATTTACTCATTTCATGTTCCTGAGTAGGTTACTTTTGATGCCGTCTATAGTTTCCTAGGTGATATTGTTACAGTGGTCAATTAGATCTACACCTTCTTGGATTCAATAAGTTATAAAAATTTAGTAATAATGATGGTTAGTGGCTAGCAGTAGAATCCAGGAGGCATGCTTTGTTCTATTTTGGACTCGTCAGCTGGATGCATCCACCTCCCATTAAACACGAACCTATCAAACCACTGCTGCATATAACGAAGCCTTATCCACTACACTATTAGTGGGAATGAGAGCCACCATTTGTGCAATAGATATCGGTTTTCATTGGCAAAAGAGGTCGAGCAATTCGACCCAGTACACAATAACGTATGATTATAAATATCAGGACAGTTACTCAACGATGATATTGGATGGCTGTTGCGCTATATCGTGAGCTAATAGAAGTTGGAAATATGGACCATTGGATTGTGACCCAGTGGCTCAGTGGTAACGTGCTGGCCAAGAAGCTGAAGGTGACGGGTTCGACCCCTGGAGGGTGGGATCGTGGGCGCGCACTGTTAAGGAGCCCCATACTAGGACGAAATAGCTGGCTGTTCAGTGCCCCCAGGTCTCCTTTGTTCCTCCAACTGATGTCAGGCTACGATGAATAACAACTTGAAATATCTGGAAACAAATCTGACTACATTCACCCTCTGAATGAAGATACAGAAAAAAGGAGAATATGAATAAATTAAGAAAACAGTGGATAGTATTATGAATAAAGTTAATAAATCTACAATGGATCTAATACACTGAATGAAGCCGTTTTTGTGTGAGTGGAAATTGGTTTAATTTAATGCCGGATCAGCGACTGATCGTTTCAGATATCAGCGAGTTATCTAATCGGCCAATGAGTCACAACAGCCGTCTCGCAAGGAGTGGCTACTGTGAATAATGCTCTGACGTTTGAAATATTCAGTCATCTATTCGAGCCTTAACAGGAACAATAACATTCACTGAGAGGGAAGGTGGTCATATTCAACTATCAAGTCCTAAATAGGACAAAATAGGTGTCGTAGATTCCTCTGATAACCACTGTCGATCAATACGATCAAACTTGAAGTACTGTCTATAGATGGTAGATAAATTCAGTTTAAACAACATTGGGTAATTGTAAGCAATATCACAAACAATTTGTTTATTTTATTTTCAAGTTGTTATTCATTGTAGACTGACATCCGTTGGGGAATACTGGAGACCTGGGAGCACTGGACAGCCAGCTGCTTTGTCCTAGTATGGGACTCCTCAACAGTGTGCACCCACAACCCCGCCCTCCAGAGATCGAAGTCGCAACCCTCAGGATTCGTGGCCAGCATGTTATCATTGAGCCACTGAATCAGAATCCAATGGTCCATATTTCCAACTTTTGTTAACTCACGATATGGCGGGTTCGTGCATGAGCACTGCTGAGTGGTCCCATACTAGGATGAAACAGCTGTCCAATCCTTCCAGGTTCCTTTGTTCCTCCAATCGATGTCAATCTACGATGAATAACAACTTGAAATATTTCCAAATCCCACAACTCCCTCAAAAATTCAATTGGACTGGTACTCATTGGTGACTGGCTTCTAGTGGAATTCCCTAAGTTCCAGTGAGAAGTCGTGACCGGTGGGGGCAAAGCTTGATGGTCATGAGGACAGTTACTCAACGATGACATTGTATGGTGGTTGTGCTATATCGTGAGCTACCAGAAGTTGGAAATATTGACGACTGGATTCCGCCGAGCTAGTGGGTCGATGGTAACGCGCTGGCTACGGGAACTGAAGGTGGCGTGTTTGATCCCTGGAGGGTGGGGTGGGGTCATAGGTGCGCACTGTCGAGGAGTCCCATACTAGGACGAAGCAGCTCGCTGTCCAGTGCTCCCAGGTTTCCAGTATTCCCCAACTGATTCAGTCTACAATGAATAACAACTTGAAATATTTTCAAATCCCTACAACTCCATCAATGTTTTATTTTCATATTTTCATCTTTTTTTTTTCGTTTCCTCTTTTCCCTGTTAAGGATCCTCGAGAAGCTGAAGAAAGAAGATATTTAATACGTCAAAATAAAAAATTATTGAATCAAGTAAGTAGAAGTACATTAAAATACAATAAATTATCTTATTACTATTAGTTATTTGAATCAGCTAAGAAAATTGAACGACTTGAAGTAACAAAAGTTGAAATGAAAGAACAATTGGAGTTATTAGACTTTCAAATTGTTGAAGTTGAAAATCAAAAAGCTATGGTATGTTTTAATTAATTCAATGTTATAAAGTTTTACTATTTTGACTATAATACACATTGTAACATTAAAAACAACAAGATATTCAACGAAGAGACTCTTTTCAACGAATTTATTTTCAAACTGTACAATCGTATATATATGATATTTGGAGAAAATTATACCCTCTGAGGAAAACTAAACACTATATGGTGATGATAATAATAATAGAGCGGATGATGACATAGGCATTTATGATTATAATAACAATTGAAGTACAATGATAACAAATAGATTATGTTAAATTTTTGAGGGGGTTATGGAGATTTGGAAATATTTCAAGTTGTTATTCATCGAAGACTGACATCAGTTGGAGGAACAAAGGAAACCTGGGAGCACTGGACAGCTGTTTCGTCCAACTAGTATGGGACTCCTGAGCAGTGCGCACCCACGACCCCACCAGCAGGGATCGAACCCGCGACCTTCAGGTTCCATACTAGGACGAAACAGCTGTCCAGTGCTCCCAGGTTTCCTTTGTTCCTCCAACTGATGTCATTCTACGATGAATAACAACTTGAAATAGATTATGTAATATATGGAATAGCACATAGAGAGTATATAACTCAGAAGGGGGTGAAAAAATTGTTGAAAATGATAAATCAATTAAGTATTATGTAATGGCATTAAACAAATTGGACAAGATGAAGTCAATGTTTTCTAAAAGGATTAAGACAATTAAGTGAAACAACACCGGAAACTAGTTGAAGTGAAGGCGATTATAATAACAATAATAGTGATAAAGGAAGGATACAAAGGTTAAATTAACAAAGTGGGAGGGGGAACTAATGGGGTGGGAAAATGTTATGGTCATGATAAAGACAGTGACTGTACATACTTCTTTTGTACACACACAGATAAGGTCTTGAATAGTTCATGAATAGCTAAAGCCTCCGCTGTTTTAAGGAGTTGAAAACGAAGAGAACGTGGGAGGTTTGGGCGAATTTGATAAATAATTTCAAAGTCATCGTCTGGATTTGTTGTGTGATGGAAGTCAATCAAATGTTCTAGAATCGAACTTCTAACAGACTTTCTTTCACCTTTATAAAACCAAGCGGGAACATGTTCTCGTATACGTGTAGAAAGCATTCTCTGGCTACGGCTGATGTACCTTGCTCCACAAGAGCAGGTGAACTGGTAGATGCACATAGAGGCGGCCAAACGAGGAAGCTTGTCTTTGACGCAGGTGGAGAATAGGTTGCGGCTGGTAAAAGTCAACTAGAGTCTTGCTGCGAAGAAAGTCCTATTGATTGATCTGGTAAGACGATTCTTCAGTACATCCGATGCTAGGTCTCCTTTAAACTCTAGGCTCATAAACAATCTTTTCTTTGAGACCGAGTGGATGACTGGTTTAGTGTTTTTCTCCCGCATAATTTTTATCAATAAAACGGCTAGGGTAACCGTTTTCGACAATACACACATCCTGTGTGTGTGTGTGTGTGTATCTATGAGAGGGAGGGGAAGGGGAGAGCTTGTAATTCTCCTACTTATTCTTCTTTTTTCCTCTTTTCATCCACCTATCAATAGATTGAAGAAGAATTGAGAAAAATTCCACCAAGTGTCAATGAAGAAACTCAAACTGAAGTAAGCTATTTTCTTTGTTTATATTTCATTTAATCTTCTTAATAATTTCAACTATTAATAAAATATTTTCAATTTACTCCAATTAACCTGTTGTCTAATTTTATATTACCTAGTCACTTTTGATTATTTATTAACGTTCTAACCGCCCTTTTAATCTATATGCACTTTATAAACGATTTGAAAGTCTTACGTAACCCTTTTTTATTATCATTCGACCTCTACGTCATCAACTAGCAACATTATAATTATCACCACCATCATGATCATTGTTTCAACCTCCCCCCCCATTATTTCAGTTAAATCTTCCTCATGGATATATATATATATATATATATATATATATATATGTTACGAAGCTCTCATGAGAAGCCGTGACCTCTGGGGTCAACCAGTCAGAAGTGAAGTGGATGCTAACTGAAGATCTTGGGTGATAGTCGCGCTATGTCGTGAATTGATAGAAGTTGAAAATTGTGAACCACTGGAAACCAACCCAGTGGCTGATTGGTTGACGCGTTCACTGTGAAACCTGGAGGTTCTGAGTTCGATCCCTAGCCAGGTCGTGGATGCATACTGCTGAGGAGTCCTATACTAGGACGAAACAGCTGTCTAGTGCCCTTGGATTTCCAATGGTTTCCTAACTGATGTCAGTCCATGATGAATACTACTTGTAAATTAAAAATTCTCATTCATCTTGTATATATACACGAATGTACAGCATGAGAATAACTTTGTTGAAAAGAGTCCTGTATGCTGAATATCTTGTTTTTCATGTCACAGTGGGAATTATTATGATTATTAATCCCTTGAGTTTCTAATGGAATATAGGGCTTCAGTAGCACGTCTCCACTCCACTCTGTTCTCTGCAGTTTTTTCAACCTGGTTCCACGACAGCCCACAAGCTCTCATTTCTTCCTCACACCATCTCCTCCATGTCACCCCCACCTCGGACGCCCAACTCGTCACCTCCTATCTGGATTCCACTCGAGTGCCCGGCCTGACGCGTTATGTCCCCAAATGGTCGTCTCAGTGTATGCCCAGTCTATTTCCACTTCCTTCTACTGCATATTTGTTGAGCGATAGCTTCTTGCTTTGTTGGTTCGTTGCCAACCGGCCAGAGTTCCTTGTTACTTATTCTTATTATTCTCGCCATCTGAGTTTCAGTAACGAGCCAGCGTAGGCGGCAGTTGTTGACGAATGTTTGTAGTTTGTTGGAAATCCCTTTTGTAACGCGTCAAGTCTCTGAGCCATAGAGAAGCACTGATTTGACTGAACTGATGTTGAAAATCCGGATATTGTTCCGCATGCTGAGTGCAGTGGAGTAGATCTCCACACTGGTTTCAGGTTAATGAATGCCTATCTTGCTTTTCCGATTCTGACTTTGACATTGTCGTCTGTGCCTGTGGCGCCTGTAGTTGAAACAGTGCTTCCTAGATAGGTGAACGAGGTTACTTCCTTTAAGTTTCTCCTGTTGATGGTGATTGGAGCTTGTTGTTGCTGTTGTTCTTGGTTGGGTATCTTCATCACCTCTATCTTCTCTACATTCACTTGAAGTCCCGTCTTCGCTGCCTTGTCTCTTCTGTCAACTTGTTGGATTTTGCCCGTAGATCTTCGAGTTTGTGCGACATTAGATACAAGTCATCGTTGGCGAAATCCAAATCTTCTCAGTTCTTTTCCGCGATCCAACAAAACAGCTCACGCCGGCCGGGAATCGAACCCGGTTTGCAACCGTGGGAGGGTTGCATGATACCGCTACACTTCCGGAGAATGCATCTTTTATATCCATTTATTTATCCTATTTCTTCTGAACAAGAAACACTTAACACTAAAACAGAATATTATATATCTACTATAATATTTATATGATATTGCGCTCGTCGCTTCTGATTTTATAGAGTATTTTAAAGAGCAGTACATTTTTGTGCATCCAAATAATAAACAGTCACTTTTGACTGACTGGAAGAAACAGCTGTCCAGTGCTCCCAGGTTTCCTTTTATTCCTCCAACTGATGTTAGTCTACAATGAATAACAACTTGAAGGATATAAGAGTTTTATGTTGTTGAGTTGCGTGACAAGGCGATGTCAAACACTTTGCATCATGCTACCAATTCAATTAGGCTAATAATCACATTGAAGATATGATAGGCAACTTTTGATTAACTATAAGAACTAGTCAATATGACACGGAATACTTTACCTGTCTGTCTGTCTATTTGTCTAACTCTCTCTCTCTCTCTGTGTCTATATCTGTGTGAATTCTACTGATCATTTTTGTATTGTGGTCACCATACTAGGAGATTTAGTATCACTGCATTTTAATTCATGTAAGACGATTAGCGACAGTTGTTAAGACGCCATTCACCTAAGTTTCATGCTTGCTGACACTCATCAACCAGATGGTCTATTTTTTAACCTTGAAAAAAGAACAACTTGTTGTTAGAAAGTATAACCACATTAAGCATTTGTGATTATCAATTATCAACTTAATGAACGTCTTTCAGAGGGATATTTATCATTTATCTTATAATGGATTATGATCTTGTTGGTTCAGACATCATTTCGCTTTGTTTTTTAGTTAAAAGAATGCGATGAAAGGCAATTTATGCTATGGAAAGTCCTAGTATTGTAAGAGTTATGAATACATTGCTGTATACTATACTGTATACAGATTTGTGATACACTTAACAATCGTCCTTAGGAAAAACATTCTATCTTTGTAACGATGTTTAATGCAGAACAACTATTCAGTTCATTTTAGGACATGGTCATCACCACCTTTATGAAACTTTCCTTTTGGTGCAAAGTGATATCTAATTTGTGGAATGATACTTGTGATTTTCCTTTGCTATACAGGATCAAATTGCTCGCCTTCTGTTGGCAGATGGGCTCCTAGACGGGATGCCTCGATACTGCCGGATATTCATGATGTTTTATTGATCTTGATGACTAGCATGGGAACCCACGGTGCGCACAAGAGGTGCCTATTGTGCCCCAGTGGCTTAGTGGATGATACCGCTCTGGTGTTTGTAAGCGGAGGGTTAGTGGGTTCAAGCCTCAATGGGAACAACATCACTCCTCACTGAGGTGTAGGTAGGTAGATCCAGCTGACGTGTCGCGAGTAGGACGAAACGGGCTTCCTGAATTCCTGTGCAAGTCACCAAGATCAATACACCACTCAAAGTAGTTGTCTGATTCCTAGTTTTTCATTACACTCATAATAGTAGTAGTAGTAGTAGTACTTCGAAATTCCTTGAGAGGGAATTTTAAAATTTTCACATTTCATCTCATTATCAGCACGTTATGCTTAATTTTTGTACAAAAAAAATTTATTTTGAAGGTTTTTTGGGATCAATTGATCCAAGCCTTCTAATAATTCTCTAATTGATATTAGTCCATGATGAGTACCAACTTTCAAATCAATAAATCCTCACAAACCTCAGAATTGAATTAATCTAGTGCTCATTAGTTACCAGCTTCATGAGGGGATTCACGAAGTTCCAGTAAGAAGTATGTGTAGGGGGTCCAAAGAAGTCTGACATGATGACAGTTAGTTTACGACGGTATTGGATGGAGGTTGCACCATATTGTGGACTGCCAGAAGCAGAAAATTTGGACCATTGGATTCCGCCAACCCAGTGGCTTAATGGTAACATGCTAGTCACGTAACTTGAAGGTGGTGGATCCCATCCCTGACAGTGTGATCATGAGTGTACACTGCTGAACATTCCCATACAGGGACGAAGCAAGTATTTAGTGCTTCCTGATTTTCAGTCATTTTTTAATTGATAGTTGTTCATGATCAAGAAAAAAAATGTTTTTCCCAAAGACGATTGTTATCTGTAGCACAGTTGACCAGATGAAAATGAATATCCTAATTGTATGAGACAGAAGGATGTTTATAAATTTGGATAGTTGACAATCGAAAACCATCATTGTGGTTTCACTGTCTCCAAATATCTAACATGTAACTAAGTCCAAGTTTCTCAACTATGTATGCAGCTGTCCTTCATCATCCAACTTACCTCAAAGATATTATTGATGAATAATGGTTAGCGGTGGAATCCAGGTCGCACGTTACATCTTATTTTGGGACTCATCCATCATCTCCCAGTGATGGATGTTGTTCCCAATAGGACTCGGACTTGCAATTAACCACTTCGAATACCAGAAAGTTATCCACTAGACTATTGAGTCATGAGTCATACTACGCATCATTAATACATAATTCAAACGCAGGCAATATTGAGGCATACGTGTAGCAGCCCGTATGCCAATACAGACTGGTCGGTTGAGTCTACTCAGTTATCAGGCAATTCAAGCAATAATACCGGCGCTCATCAGATCTTTACTTCACTTCAGTCGCTGAGGGTTGTGGTTGACTGCCGTGTAAATTCGTGATGCCTTACTATCGCTTGAGTATATTCACACTGGCTAGCCACCCAGGACTTCTCATTTCAGTCCTGCCACGGCCAAAATTTTCATTTCACCTTCAATTATCACCGAGTATCTGGCAAACTACGGCTATCTCAAATAGTCAAACTGATTTTATGCATGTTAGTTGGCTGGAGGCAGTCGACAAGAAACTCTAGACATGAGTTTCGAGTTTGTTGGCACTCACCAGCAAGGCGAGTCCTCAACCTCAAACTGATCGATATAATCTGGGCAGTACTCAAGACTAGGCAATACGAAATTGGTTGCCCTACAGTGACCAGTGAATGTATATAATCCAGTCCTGAAGGACGCTTATCATGACTCGAATAGCTCAATGGTAAAGAAGTGATTACAACACTGGGTGACGCAGGTTCGAGTCTCACAGGAGATATCATTTCCCTCTAAAGTCGCAGATACACTTTGCTGACGAGTGTAAAAAAAGCACAAAACCTAGGTTGAGGAAGGCTGGCTTCCTACCGATCGCCTCCAGTTTGGTCAGTACTTAGAGACTGGTCAACACCATGAAATTCATTGCTCTCTGCGATAACCTAAGCTGTTCACCTTTTAGTAA